GTGTCGGTGTATGTGAGAGAGGGAGAGACAGAGAAGAAGGGGGAGGTAAGAGGGAGGGGAAAGGGGGTGGGGGGAGGGGGTGTGAAGTGACTTTTGGCTCATTAGAGACTAACAGTTATTTTGACCATACACGCAGGCTTCGCTTAGTGACCTCTCTAATTTGAATAAAACGTGTCAATGTTTACCTGCTGGTGGAAACTGGCGTGGTCTGCCCTTCTTTCTTCTTTTCGCTCTGATTATCATCCCAATCAGCTCAAAGCGAACTATGGTCATTGTTTCCTTTCCCATCTCACCCCAACATGTCGCTGGTGTTAAGAATACTCCCGCTGCATTGGTTGTATGGTATGAGTATAACACAATTTTCAAACTGAAAGATTATTTGATAGTGGATTTCCGATATCAACATCTCTTTCCGATAGGCCCTTTCCGATAGGTCCGATCCAGATGTGTGAAGAACCTTATTTTTTATGCAGCTGTTTTACGCCCCTCTGTCGACACGGTTTAGATCTAACATGTTGTAGGCTTTGACCCTGCCGGTTATGGCCGACTCTGGCTAAGAGGGATAAAACGTCTCAAAAGAAAGATGGACATACTTGATACAAATTCTCCCCACTCGGGAATAGAACCCAAGTCTTCTGTGTACAACGGCAAGGCGCCTAACCTCTTCACCACAGACGCCCATGTGAAGAGCCGAACAACTCAGGTCGAAGAACACTTCAATCTGATTTCGAATCAGTGCATCGTAACCTTAGCCAAACACCATACAAACTGAGCTAATGATGCATCCATTCCTGATGTCCAAAAATAAACCCGACGTCACAGGCATCCCTCAGGTTTTGTCAAGTGATGTATTAGGCCTGCTCTTTGTTTTTCCTGTGGCTCAGTAATACTAAAACTCTCTGGTAATTCCTAGGCCGTTCCAGAATGATATACACTCCACCTCATTTCTATGGTCCGATATCATTTAATTTTATAAGTCCTTAACTCAGACATCTCTGTACCTTTGACTTCCAACGTGGAAATCCCATGACCATAGACATGTAATACAACGATAGCAAAAAAGAGCTTGGAAGAGCAATGAAGGAATAGCAAAAAGAAGGGTAAAAAGAGACTGTAGAAAACGAAACAGAATTGGGGGGGGGGGGGGGGGTTGAAGAATTATAAAAAGGAAGAGGGAATGGCAATGAGTAGTAAAATTAGGAAGGAAATGTCCAACCATTCATCGTATTCCTCTGTCGCCACCAAAAATGTCTGCGCTGTTAAGGCGATATTTTGTTGAAAGAGGGTTTTAATCGATAAAATAATACATGTATTGTTTTTTAAAAACACTTAACTAGCTATGCTTGTTTACAGTCTTCTTTTTCGTTCTCCTATTTGATCTCAATTAAGGGTAGTCGATTGCTGGTTTTTCAACATGCAGTTCAACTGATTTTTACGAACGTAACAGTTTCACTTAGTGTCATGCAATGAAAGAGGCGATTACAGCACGAGTATCGTGGAGTCGACCCTTGCCTCAGTTAACACTCAACAATTCATTTTGAAGTCCTTGTAACTCTTTATATGTCTTATTGCAGCACTGATCGTAAATAGATTTTTTCCAAATCCTCCATCGAAACGGTTTATATAATGTATATGTAATCTTGGAGCCATATTACTGTGACTTTACAGGGCCATCCAAAGCTCAGAGGGGTACAGCATCCCATTAAAACGGAGATTCTTGATTAATCGGTACTTTTTTGAGAATCCGATTGGCGTCTTTGTAATTATAATTTTAGATGTTTTACACCCCATTAACACACTTTATATCAAATAATAGACTAGCTGCTCGCTCAAACATCCGTACACAAACACACACACGCACGCACACACACACTCACACATACACACACACACACACACACACACACACACACACACACACACACACACACATACACACTGACTTACACACACAAATCAAGGGACACGACAAAAGTTAATAAAGTGTGATTTATTACTGGGCTTTTTAATGAATAATGAACTGAATGACTTGGTCTCGGAAAAACGAGGCTTGTCTCGGAAAGTGTGTGTATTGGGGGGGGGGGGGGGAGGGAGGAATCATGGACAGGAAAAGCTCTGTTTGGAGCACTTGGTACTGTTCACCGGCTCACAAATACCTGCGGAAACAGAAATTGTTAGATTATGTGAGCATCGCGATGACCCCAAACCCCGCCCCTCTTCTTTTTTAATCCATGCTATTTACCTGTGCCACATAATATTGAACGTGGGTGGTTGGTGGGGGCTCTAGTGTGGTTTGCTCCTTCTTTCCTATCAAACATATATCGTCCTTATCTCTCCTCCTTCTTTTTTGTGTTTGTTACTCTCTTGTAACACCTCTAATCTTCGACACTTACTTATTGTGTTGCAAGTGCATGCCGTAAAACTCTTACTAAAACATAATATTGCACCCCCCCCTCCCCGCTACGCATTTCCATGTTACTGCGTTTTAAAATCTTGTCGCCGACTCCCACCCATCCCGTTCATAAAAAACTCCACCCCCCCCCCTCTCCCCCCTTCCCCCAACCCCATCATTGCCTCGTCTTTTATCCGTATCACTGTTTGTCCATACACTACCGTATGAGTGCCCTTTACCCAAGACACATACACCGTATTTTATTTAGACTTTCCTCATTTTCTATGCAACACCTGACCGGTGTTTGTGGTGTCGTGGTTAGGATCTTCATTATCGCCCACAGGAGACTCGAGTTGAGTGGGGAGAAAATTGTGATCGAGTACCTCATTCTTTTTCAGGGATGTTGTATCTTCCCCGCAGGGTCGAAAACCTGCCTCCTAAATAATCTAAATTGCGTCGATAGGGGTGTAAAATCATCAACATTCTTTTCTTAAAATGTTTATATTTGCATGACGTCACTCGCCTGGCTGTCCAATGGGTGCGGACAGTGGTACTGGTTTGTCCTTGGTCCACTTACAGCTGAGGTCACCAACCTCTTTGCCATTGGAGAAACCATCATTGTCCGAGTCAGCCTGGCACAGGGATACTGTCCATTTGTGACCCGCCGCCGCGAACGCCTGCGCATTACAGGAAGTAGACACATGAAGGTTTAAATCCGGTGCAGACAGAATGTTATTGTATATGTAAGCATGACAGGAAGTAGACACATGAAGGTTTTATATCCTGTGAAGATAGAATTTGATCGTATTTGAACAGCTCCCAGTATTCAGTACAAACATATGTCTTGGCAGAGATATTCGAATATTAACTTTTAGTTTACGGAAAGGTTATTTCAACCATTAGTGCAGATAACTTTGTCAGCCAATATTGTTCTCAGCATTACAAACTTTTCTATAACTCCGCTCCTCTTTTACTTATTTGAACAAAATACTCACCAAACTGATAGAGAATATATCATCCGTTCAACAAGCATACAGCTTTATTATAGACTAGATGAATGTGCTGGTGCTTTGTAGATTTTTATTATGACTGTAAACAACAGGGCGATGCTGTGGGTCATTTGGACTGGCTCGCCGTATACTGAGAGTTAATATTGATAGTAAAATTCTCCAGACATTTCGCTACTTCAGAATTACAAAGTTCTTGTTTGTTTAGTATAGGGTTTTACGGCGCTCGCAACTGCATAAGTAGGAAGGAAATGTCCAACCATTCATCGTATTCCTCTGTCGCCACCAAAAATGTCTGCGCTGTTAAGGCGATATTTTGTTGAAAGAGGGTTTTAATCGATAAAATAATACATGTATTGTTTTTTAAAAACACTTAACTAGCTATGCTTGTTTACAGTCTTCTTTTTCGTTCTCCTATTTGATCTCAATTAAGGGTAGTCGATTGCTGGTTTTTCAACATGCAGTTCAACTGATTTTTACGAACGTAACAGTTTCACTTAGTGTCATGCAATGAAAGAGGCGATTACAGCACGAGTATCGTGGAGTCGACCCTTGCCTCAGTTAACACTCAACAATTCATTTTGAAGTCCTTGTAACTCTTTATATGTCTTATTGCAGCACTGATCGTAAATAGATTTTTTCCAAATCCTCCATCGAAACGGTTTATATAATGTATATGTAATCTTGGAGCCATATTACTGTGACTTTACAGGGCCATCCAAAGCTCAGAGGGGTACAGCATCCCATTAAAACGGAGATTCTTGATTAATCGGTACTTTTTTGAGAATCCGATTGGCGTCTTTGTAATTATAATTTTAGATGTTTTACACCCCATTAACACACTTTATATCAAATAATAGACTAGCTGCTCGCTCAAACATCCGTACACAAACACACACACACACACACACACACACTCACACATACACACACACACACACACACACA